AAAAAAAAAAAAAAAAAAAAAAAAAAAAAAAAAAAAAAAAAAAAAAAAAAAAAAAAAAAAAAAAAAAAAAAAACCCAGTAAAGATGACAAGGGTTTTATAAAAAAATAATTCGAGTTTGACACTTTGAAGGGGTTTTTCTTTTTGAGTCAGGTGTGAGAATATCCGAATAATACAATTTGAAAAAAAAAATTAAACTAAGTTAAAAAAGAAAAATATGTGGAGTAGGAATAAAAATGGCAAAAGGATAGGCTAAACTATTAAGAAGTTGACAAAAAAGTAAAAAAAAGTAAAAATAGACTCAAAAGGTAAGAAAAGGTAAGGAGTGTATTGTGTGTTAAATGTGTCCTGACACAAAGGATGATATTCAGTTAAGATCCGACTCAACTCTTGGACAACTTTAAAACCGAAAAAAAAGGATATTTATATAAATATGAATATAAGGGAAAAGAAAATAATCTTGAAAAGAATGTAGAACGAAAAGTGCCAAGCAACAAAATTATATAACGGAAAAATGAATGGAAATAAAAATCTCAATTACAACTTTCCAATTAAATTGGAGACATCAAACAATAAAAAACGAAATACAAAGGACACAGCATTAATTCGGTGTCACACAAATTACCGTACATACCTCGATATAAAACTTTATATAAAAAAGGGAATCAAATAAATCTTGCTATTAATATCTTTTTTTTTTTTTTTGCAACAAAACTTTAATTTTTTTATTTTTTTAAAAAGTTGAAACTTTTCATTTCATAAACAACCTATTTATTTAATTTTCAGGATTACACAAGTTGTTAGAAGTTTTTCCTGATAGATGCATATGTTAGCCAATAATTAAGTGTAAAAAAAAAAGAAAAGTCCAATGGAAAATCAATGATAAATAATAAGGCAATCTTTGTGTTTGTTTCTATATTTAGGATTCCTTTATATATCACCACTAATACCCGTTATAAAGCCCGATTAGATTTCGGCTGATCCCGTAATCATCCACGTGGGCATGGTTTCAAGTTCTATATTTCACAATAAAATAACCAAGAAAATACTCTTTCATATATTTATTGCCGGAATAATTATTGCTATAATTAACAGAAAGTTACTTTGTTGATTATTTCCTTTTACGTTGCGGGTTTTTTAATGTAAAAATGATCCCCATCATATTTATTGTAGTCAAAATAAAAACAATAAAAAAAATATGTAAATATATATACGTAAAAGATACGACACACCGTAACCTGTTATTTCCAAAGTTTGCGTAAACTTTCATTTTGCTCTTCTCCTTTCTTCATAACCTTGGCCACGGCCATTTCAAAATCCTCTTGCGTTACGTGCACACGACGTTCTCGAAGAGCATACATACCACCTTCTGTACAAACTGCTTTCACTTCAGCACCGCTAGATCCGTTCATCTTTTCTGCTATCTTGCGTAAATTAATTCCACGCGTTAAATTCATTTTACGCGAATGAATTTTCAGAATGTCTGCGCGTGCCTGAAAACGCATTCAAGGATTTTAATACAAAAGTGATTAATTAATTTAACCGATCGTAATTGATTTATTACATACAGCCTCGGATGGTGGTGGAAATTCGATTTTTCTGTCAATACGACCGGGTCGCAGCAGTGCCGGATCGAGAATATCGATACGATTCGTTGCCATAATGACCTACATAAAAAGATTTAATGAGGTGCTTCGATAATCTCATCAAAAAAAAAAACATGTATATTATATTTACAAATTATTGTATGTTTGATTTACCTTTATATTTTTTGTGGGTTCAAATCCGTCCAATTGATTGAGCAGTTCTAACATTGTTCTTTGTACTTCTGAATCACCGCCTCCTGAACCTGATTCTATACGTGAAGACCCAATCGAGTCAATCTCATCCATAAAGATGATAGATGGTGCATGCTCTCTAAAAGTGTATCATGTTTAATTTTAGATTTTGAAAGTGTTTCAAAAAAAAAAAAAATCTAAAAATAGCAAAAAGGTTAACTAAATAAATACCTTGCCATGACAAACAATTCTCTAACCATTCGACTTCCTTCTCCAATGTATTTTTGTACTAATTCTGAACCGGAAACGCGAATGAATTTACAATCTGTATGATGAGCGACAGCACGTGCCAACAGAGTCTTCCCGGTACCGGGAGGTCCGTATAACAAAACTCCCTAAAATGAATAAATAAATAAATAAATAAATAAACAAGCAAATAAATAAATATATATTTGTATCATCTTACCTTAGGTTGAGCGATACCCAAACTTTCAAATAATTCAGGATGTTTTACGGGTAATTCTATCACTTCTTTGATTTCCTTAATTTGTTTATCCAATCCTCCCACCATCTCATATGTTGAATCCGGAACTTTTTCCACCATCATCAATGAAACGAGTGGGTCAACTTTATTAGGCAAAATTTTATGAAGAGTATATGAATCATTGCGAAGGGCAACTCTACATGTTGCTGTGATTTGAACAATGTCAATGTCCGGAGCAATATCTACCACATATTTTCCTTCAGGGTGAACTTTAACGAGAACCTTTTTTTTGCCCATAAGTTTAACCACTTCTCCAACATATGATCCGGGTTCTTGCAAAAGTTGTAATTCTTCTCTGAGTAATCGAACTACAATATTTCCAGTTAAAGAAAAAAAAAAAAAAAGATTAATGACCGTTAATTTCCTTCACCATTTAATGTTATTAAGAATTTTTACCAATTAAACATACCTTTAGCATTCAGTGCATTCCTCTGAGCTTCTAAACGCCTTAAATTTTGTGTTTTCTCATTAATAACCAACTCCGCCTCTTCGATCTTTGTCTGATAATAATTCTTTATACCTTCTCTACCCATAATTATTTAAAGGTTTATTTTTTAAAAAAAAAAAAAAAAAAGTTCGTTTTTATGCAACTATTAACACCGAATAGTAAGCAATAACTCGGCGTAGTTGAAAGGGTGAAGAAATACGGTAAGGAATATCGAACTTGAACCTTTTCAATCCTTACACTTTTTGATTTATATATATATATATATTTTTTGATCGAAATGTACTTTTTTTGAAGGGGTTTTTTTTGGTTACGTAATTATATATCATTTTTTCGTGAAATTTGATTGGATGAACCGAAACAACGCATAACGCATACATACGATTGTGATGGATTTTATCAAAAAAAAAAAAAATTTTTTTTTCTTCCTAATAAAATGAACGCAGTAAATTTCATGAAATTTGGCCTTGTACCCGTTAAAACAAACACAATATTTTTAAATAGTATTGTGGTAAAATTTAACAAAATATTTTTATCATGAGAATTTAATTGAATAATTGCAACCCTTAACTAAAAGAAAAAAAAATATAATATTTTTTTTAAACCATTTCGAAGCGAAAATATGTTCGACCATACAAAACTACGGTTAGTCAAATCAAAAAAGGAGAGGTCATTGAACATAAAAATCGACATTATATGGTAACAAAGATAGATTCTCACTTTACAGGAAGGGGAAGTGCGGCCACTAAGGTAACTTGATAAAAATTTATATCACGAGTTAAATTATACAACAACTTATTGAATGTTTCTTTGGCAGGATAGTTTGAATTAAAAGATGTCATAACCGGAAAAGTAATTGTGGAAAGATTAAGGCCTAGTGAATCATTCGAAGGTAGGGAGGTGAATTGTAATTTATTGTCATGTGATCTGCCGGTTTCTCAATTTTTTATAACGATAATTCTTTCAGTATCAACCCTTTCCGATAAATCTTATACGTACTTGTATTCCGATAAAAAGAAGGTATATCTATCCAATCACGATACTTTTGAAGACATCGAAATCGATGCCGATAAAATTGAAGGTACTGTTGGATAAAATGGTTATCTTACACATTATTTTATATTAAGATCCGGTTTCTTTTATTTTTTAGGTGGCGAAAAGTATTTACAATTATTGGAAGGTAATCAAAAAAGAAGTTAAAAGAATAAAAATAAAAATAAAAAATATTAATCATTTGTTTCATGTTACTCGCAGATGATATAAAAGTCACAGTTTCATTTTTAGAAACCGAAGAAGGGATAAATCCAATTTCATTTCGTCTTCCTCAAATGCATGCTTATAGGGTTGTTGGTTCAACATCTATCGTTGGTAATGCCTCTAAAGGTACAGCCATGAAAGTAATAGAAATACGCGACGGTATTCAAGTTCAAGTTCCGGAATTTATAAATGTCGGAGATAAAATCATTATTACTCTAAACGATTTAAAATATATTAAAAGAGCATAGAATTATAAATTTCGTCTCGTCTTTAAAAATCAGCTTTCCTTTTCGAGTTTTTCTTTTTTTTTTTTTTTTGTCCAATTAATTTCTCTTTCAATAATTCATTACCTGAACTTAGTTCAATATGCAATCATGAATCGAAGATTTCGCAATATTGCTATCTGTTCTTCGGGTATTTTTAAATTTCGGATGTTTTAACGTGTAAATTTGAATTCAGAAAAGTAAAGAATTCTATTTTGAATGATTTTCATAAATGGGATTTATCTGATATAAAATTCGTAAAAAACATAAAGTCCAATAACTATGACATCCTCCGTACAAAAACATCAAATAACATAAACGAGACGCGCATAAAAACGATTTTAGTATCTTGCATATATATTACGTAGCGTATATACAGTCCCGGCGAAAAGAATGGCCGCATCTATTTTTAGGCTGCGGTTTCACCGTCTGCAATGTCATTTGTATCGAAAATTCTTAAACAAGCATCTGTATAATAACGCAAATATGTTATATAGTTGCAGCTGAGTCTTCTAATTAAATAATAACTCAAAACACACTTCGCAAGGTATTCAGAAAAACTTAAAATCATCTAAGACAAGTTCTTTCTTGGCCTTCATACAGCCCAGAAATAGACTCTATTGAAAATGTATAGGTTGTATTAAAGGAAAAGATGAAGAAAAAGATCAAATATTTAGTGGCAAAAAAATATTACCTGTAATATATTCCTTAATACAATCTAGCAGGAATAGAATGATCTTAATGAAGCTATATTACTTCAGTGCATTAAGAGTATATCAAGCTGAATTAAAGCATATGGGAGGGTTTCTAGGAAAATCAGGTTCCGAGAAATTTTTCACTTAAATTAAGAGCTTAATACATTTTAATCTAATAACATCAAAAACTAAAATGCAATAAAAATCTCAATTTTGTTAAAAAATTCCCGGAACCTGATTTTCCTAGCAATCAACCCATATATCAATGAAGAATAAAGGATATACCAAATATTAATTAAATAATAAAAAGGTTGTTATTAGTATTGGTCTTATAATAATAAAAAAATCTACATTAAAAATAAAGTTTATACATATTATAAAAATATATTTTCGCCGCCATTCTTTTCACTAAAACTGTACTGTAATACTTAGATTATGCATATAATGAATTCACTATATATAAACAGCCTCATCAAACAAAGCTCAGAGAAAAATTTCCAAGGATCATTAATAATCCTAGTTATCACTATTATGTTTAACATTTATTGCTATTCAGATTATATTTAATAAATCTATAACTGTATAAAAATAAATAGATATTTAAAAAGATGAAAAATGAGAAAGAAAAATAAATAAATAACCTGTAAGTTTTACTTGTATATACTGTTATCAGATTCATTTTCAGTTATCTTAATGTCTAAGTTAAAGGCTGCAGCAGTTGATTCTACATATTGGAGTTTTTGATCTTAGGATTTTTTTTAAATCCTACAGGTATCCGTTATACTTGAATCAACTTAGCAATTTATTACATCTTAAAATTTAAGATATATTTAATCAAACTTATAATGACAAACTTAATAGCAAGTTAGTGTAGATTATCATAACAAATCCTAGATGAGAGATAACATTTGAAGGAAAAAGTAAATTTGTATAGATTTAAATTGATTCTTTTATTAATAACTTGAAACTTGCAAAAAAGTTAATTTACAACTTAAGTAAAAGCTTTTCTATTATACAAAATTAATTTATTACAGCTAACTATTTATTATGCCATAAATTAACTAAATATAGATATATGTTCTAATAAAAATATATTTAAATATAATAAAATAATAAAAATAATATAAATTATAAAAATAATAAAAATTAATTATAGATGTTAAAAGAATTATAGGTGAAACATTAACAGAATAAATAGGCTGTACAGAAAATATAAAAGAAACAGAAGAAATAGATAAAATAGAAATTATTGTTATTGATCATTATTTGACGTAATAGTAAGACTATCTATTATTTGATCATCATTAATTGATGAATTTCATGTGATATTTAAAACTATAATTTCTGCTGTTAACAATATTTTATTTTAAATAATGATCTTTTTACCTAACTTTTTAGCCTTAAAAATAAAATAATTGTAAAAATAATTGTAAATTTAAGTAATTATTTACAAACTGTTTTTTCTATTAAAATGACAAAATAAAGCAAATTTATTAAAAAAAAAACATAATAATAGATTACACTACAATATTTTAATAAGATAAAATTTTAATAAGATATTTACTTGATAGTTTGATCAGCATTATACTAAATTATGTATATATATATAATAATTTAATCAATATTAAAGTATCAGAAATTTATTCTATTAAAATATTATTTAATATTGATAATAATGATATCAAAATTTAAAAGAAATTACCAAGTAATTTTTTATAATATTTATTAATAAAATTTTGAATAAAGATAATGCCATAACTAATTGCAGTTTTGTAATGCTTATTTATCATTATTATAATTAGTTATAACTCAATTTTTATTAGTATTGCAATTAATTGTAACTATATAATGCTTATTATATAAAATTATAAATAAATCTAAGCTTTTTTATTGAATTATTTTTTTTTAAAAACACAAATATTCTTATAAAATATAAATAACTAAGTATTTTATAAAAAATAAATAAAATATATAGAAATAAATAATATACTAAAAATAAGATTATTTAAAGATAAAAATAAACAAACTATATAATTAATATTTAAATTACTAAACTAATTGCATTTTTAGATAAAAAATATTAAAACTTATTAATATAAATATCAAAAACAATAGCAATAATATTAAGGTTTTTAGTATTTTAGATATTATCATAATTTTTTAATATGTTTACCTATTATAAGATAAAAAATAAATTAATAATAATTTATTTAAAAAAAAACCTATAAAAAAGCTAATATTTTAAATAAATATCTAATTATTTAATTTTTTATCAAATATTAACTTTAAATCTATTAAAATCTTTCTTTTTAAATTTGATTAATTATATTTTTCTGATAATATTTATGATATAATAAAAAAAAAAAGAATTTTTATCTTTATAATAATTTATTAATATAATTATCATGAAGAAATAAGTATTTTATAATAAAATAGAAGGAAATTATCAAAAAAATTTTTTTTATTTTATAAACTAAATATTATTTTTAGTAAAATAAATCTAGATTTAATATTAACTCAAATATTTTTTTATAATTTCTTTTTTTACTATAAAATATTTAAATGTTTGGTATAGATATAACTATCAAAATACTTTTTATATTATACTTTTTTTTTAGAAATAAAAATAATATGAAGTTATCTGCATACTACCCAGGGTAGTATCTAATTTTTTGTCACTCCATAAAACTGAATTTGATTAGTCAAAAATTTTAATATTTGTAATTAAAATTTTAACAATTAATATAAGAAAAGATATAAACTTTTATCAATTTTTTTTATTGTTTTGAATAAAAATTAATTCTTTGAATATAAATAAAATTATAAACTAGCTAAAATTCGCTTTTATAATTTATTTATCTAATATAGATTGAATAGCAAAATAATTTCTAAATGATCATTTGTTACAAAAGCAATCGACATTAAAATAAATTTAAGATATTGGCTTTAAAAAAATTTTGCAAGGATCATAATCTAAAAACAGTAATATTAAAAAAATAAACTTTATTGAATCTAATTAGAATTATCATACTACTTCTTTTCCTTTGCATTTTATATAGGTATGACCTTCTCTTTTACATGATTTATATGATGTTACACATCATTTTATATTATGATTACTAGTATCACAATTACTGTATACCTTTGATCCTTTACTATTATTATTTTGTGAACTGCTTTACTCATTATTCTCTTGAATAGAACTACCATTTTTGTTAGAATCTTTATACATTTCAATAAAACTTTTAAATCTTTTGTTACGTGATCTTCTCTTGGATCTAACTAAATATAAATTTATAATTCTACTAGAACTTGATTTATTAGTATTTTCATTTATATTATATAATTTTTCTAGAACTTAATCAAGATATCTAAAATATCAAATCTTTATTTTTCAGTAGCAATTTGAGCTATTTTATAATCAAGCCTAAATAAATCATTATATAAATGTTGCATTTTAATTTTTATATTGATTTCATCTATTGAGTCTTTTTTTCTAAGTATATCTAAAACTATTAGTGATTATGCAATTTGTAAATTATTTCTATTTATATCCATAAATACTCGTTCAATAGTATCAGCTATACTCAACTTATTACAAGTTTCAGCTTTATCATCACTTAAATTGTTGATTTATTTTTCTAATTTATACCATCACCTTTTAATTAGAGAAATGCTAAATTGGCTTCTGTATTATGAATCATAATCTGAAAAAAGTGCTAACATACTAATCTGCAGTTTAAAATTATCATACAAGTGCAAATAAGTCCTCAATTAAGTAAAATAATTACAAATTAGAGGTTGAACTTGAATTATGTATAAGATATGAAATATGCTATATTTCAAGAATATTTTTCCTATTAACTTAGATATTTATGCAATATCTACTTAATTATCAATATTTGAATTGTTATTTTCTTGGTTAACATTCTAAAAATTAAAGTAAATGTATTATAAAATGTTGAATACATTATGATCTTTTTAATTAAATTTTTGTAAAAAATACAAATAAATGCTTACTATAATATCTTCATATTCTTTTAGTAAAATTAAGGTAATATTATATTATAAACTTATATCAAGTTGTACTTTTTAAATAAAATATAATTCTGATGTAAGATATTCTTTTAATTTATTAATTATATGTAGAAAAATTTATTATAATGCTAATATCAATAAATTTATATGTGGTAATGATTTAACCTAATCATAATATTCAGCTTTAGTAATTTAGTTGTAAAAATATATTTGAATTTCTTAAAAAAAAATTACTAAACCACTTTGAATATT